CCGCTCTCTATGCCCCCTCTCTCTATGCCCCTCTGTCTCTGCCCCCTCTCTCTATGCCCCTCTCTCTGCCCCCCTCTCTTCCCCCTCTCTCTCTGCCCCTCTCTTCTGCCCCCCTCTCTCTATGCCCCCTCTCTCTATGCCCTCTCTCTCTATGCCCCCTCTCTCTATGCCCCTCTCTCTATGCCCCTCTCTCTATGCCCCTCTCTCTATGCCCCTCTCTCTATGCCCCTCTCTCTCTACACCCACTCTCTATGCCCCTCTCTCTCTACACCCACTCTCTATGCCCCTCTCTCTATGCACCTCTCTATGCCCCCTCTCTCTGCCCCCTCTCTCTATGCTCCCTCTCTCTCTGCCCCCTCTCTCTCTGCCCCACTCTCTCTCTGCCCCCTCTCTCTATGCCCCCTTTTTCTATGCCCCTCTCTCTCTGCCCCCTCTCTCTATGCCCCTCTCTCTGCCCCCTCTCTCTATGCCCCTCTCTCTCTGCCCTCTCTCTCGGCCCCTCTCTCTCTGCCCCTCTCTCTCTGCCCCTCTCTCTCTGCCCTCTCTCTCTCTGCCCCCTCTCTCTATGCCCCTCTCTCTCTGCCCCCTCTCTCTATGCCCCCACTCTCTATGCCCCTCTCTCTGACCCCTCTCTCTACCCCCACTCTCTCTGCCCCTCTCTCTCTGCCCCTCTCTCTCTGCCCTCATTCTCTCTGCCCCCTCTCTCTATGCCCCTCTCTCTCTGCCCCCTCTCTCTATGCCCCCACTCTCTATGCCCCTCTCTCTCTGACCCCTCTCTCTACCCCCACTCTCTCTGCCCTCTCTCTCTCTGCCCCCTCTCTCTGTGCCCCTCTCTCTATGCCCCCTCTCTCTCTGTACCTCTCTCTCTGCTCCCTCTCTCTCTATGCCCCTCTCTCTATGCCCCTCTCTCTATGCCCCTCTCTCTCTGCCCCCTCTCTCTCTGTCCCTCTCTCTCTATGCCCCTCTCTATGCCCCTCTCTCTATGCCCCTCTCTCTATGCCCCCTCTCTCTGCCCCTCTCTCTCTGCCCCTCTCTCTCTGCCCCTCTCTCTCTGCCCTCTCTCTCTCTGCCCCCTCTCTCTATGCCCCTCTCTCTCTGCCCCCTCTCTCTATGCCCCCACTCTCTATGCCCCTCTCTCTCTGACCCCTCTCTCTACCCCCACTCTCTCTGCCCCTCTCTCTCTGCCCCTCTCTCTCTGCCCCTCTCTCTCTGCCCTCTCTCTCTCTGCCCCCTCTCTCTATGCCCCTCTCTCTCTCTGCCCCCTCTCTCTATGCCCCCACTCTCTATGCCCCTCTCTCTCTGACCCCTCTCTCTACCCCCACTCTCTCTGCCCTCTCTCTCTCTGCCCCCTCTCTCTATGCCCCTCTCTCCATGCCCCTCTCTCTCTGTACCTCTCTCTCTGCTCCCTCTCTCTTTGTCCCTCTCTCTCTATGCCCCTCTCTATGCCCCTCTCTCTATGCCCCTCTCTCTATGCCCCCTCTCTCTATGCCCCCTCTCTCTATGCCCCTCTCTCTCTGCCCCTCTCTCTATGCCCTCTCTCTCTGCCCCTCTCTCTCTGCCCCCTCTCTCTATGCCCCTCTCTCTGCCCCCTCTCTCTATGACCCCTCTCTCTATTCCCCTCTCTCTCTGCCCCTCTCTCTATGCCCTCTCTCTCTATTCCCCTCTCTCTCTGCCCCTATCTCTCTGCCCCCTCTCTCTATGCACCTCTCTCTCTGCCCCCTGTCTCTATGCCCCCTCTCTCTATGCCCCTCTCTCTCTGCCCCTCTCTCTCTGCCCCTCTCTCTCTGCCCCTCTCTCTATGCCCCTCTCTCTCTGTGCCCCCACTCTCTCTCTGCCCCTCTCTCTATGCCCTCTCTCTCTATTCCCCTCTCTCTCTGCCCCTATCTCTCTGCCCCCTCTCTCTATGCCCCTCTCTCTCTGCCCCCTCTCTCTATGCCCCCTCTCTCTATGCCCCTCTCTCTCTGCCCCTCTATCTCTGCCCCCTTTCTCTCTGCCCTCTCTCTATGCCCCTCTCTCTATGCCCCTCTCTCTATTTCCCTTCTCTCTATGCCCCTCTCTCTCTGCCCCCTCTCTCTATGCCCCCTCTCTCTGCCCCCTCTCTCTATGCCCCTCTCTCTCTGCCCCTCTCTCTATGCCCCTCTCTCTCTGCCCCCTCTCTGCCCCCTCTATCTATGCCCCCTCTCTCTCTGCCCCCACTCTCTTTGCCCCCTCTCTCTATGTCCCCTCTCTCTCTGCCCCTCTCTCTCTGCCCCTCTATCTCTGCCCCCTCTCTCTATGCCCCTCTCTCTGCCCCTCTCTCTCTGCCCCCTCTCTCTCTGCCCCCTCTCTCTCTGCCCCTCTCTCTATGCCCCTCTCTCTCTGCCCCTCTCTCTCTGACCCCTCTCTCTCTGCCCCCTCTCTCTATGCCCCTCTCTGTCTGTCCCCTCTCTCTATGGCCCCAGTCTCTATGCCCCCCCTCTCTCTATGCCCCCTCTCTATGCCCCCTCTCTCTATGCCCCTCTCTCTCTATCCCCCCTCTCTCTGCCCCCTCTCTCTATGCCCCCTCTCTCTCTGCCCCTCTCTCTGCCCCTCTCTCTATGCCCCACTCTCTCTGCCCCTCTCTCTCTGCCCCCTCTCTCTCTGCCCCCTCTCTCTATGCCCCTCTCTGTCTGTCCCCTCTCTCTATGGCCCCAGTCTCTATGCCCCCCTCTCTGCCCCCTCTCTATGCCCCTCTCTCTATGCCCCTCTCTCTATGTCCCCTCTCTCTCTGCCCCCTCTCTCTCTGCCCCTCTCTCTCTGCCCCCTCTCTCTATGCCCCTCTCTCTATGCCCTCTCTCTCTATGCCCCTCTCTCTGCCCCCTCTCTCTATGCCCCCTCTCTCTCTGCCCCTCTCTCTCTATGCCCCCTCTCTCTCTGCCCCTCTCTCTCTGCCGGCTCTCTCTATGCCCCTCTCTCTATGCTCCTCTCTCTATACCCCTCTCTCTCTGCCCCTCTCTCTATTCCCCTCTCTCTCTCTGCCCCCTCTCTCTATGCCCTCTCTCTTTATGCCCCTCTCTCTATGCCCGCTCTCTCTATGCCCCTCTCTCTGCCACCTCTCTCTATGCCCCTTTCTCTATGCCCCTCTCTCTCTGCCCCCGCTCTCTATGCCCCCTATCTCTATGCCCCTCTGTCTCTGCCCCCTCTCTCTATGCCCCTCTCTCTGCCCCCCTCTCTTCCCCCTCTCTCTCTGCCCCTCTCTTCTACCCCCTCTCTCTATGCCCCCTCTCTCTATGCCCTCTCTCTCTATGCCCCCTCTCTCTATGCCCCTCTCTCTATGCCCCTCTCTCTATGCCCCTCTCTCTATGCCCCTCTCTCTATGCCCCTCTCTCTATGCCCCTCTCTCTCTACACCCACTCTCTATGCCCCTCTCTCTCTACACCCACTCTCTATGCCCCTCTCTCTATGCCCCTCTCTATGCCCCCTCTCTCTGCCCCCTCTCTCTATGCTCCCTCTCTCTCTGCCCCCTCTCTCTCTGCCCCACTCTCTCTCTGCCCCCTCTCTCTATGCCCCCTTTTTCTATGCCCCTCTATCTCTGCCCCCTCTCTCTATGCCCCTCTCTCTCTGCCCCTCTCTCTATGCCCCTCTCTCTCTGCCCCTCTCTCTATTCCCCTCTCTCTCTGCCCCCTCTCTCTGCCCCCACTCTCTCTGCCCCTCTCTCTCTGCCCCTCTCTCTCTGCCCCCCTCTCTCTGCCCCTCTCTCTCTGCCCCTCTCTCTATGCCCCCACTCTCTATGCCCCCTCTCACTCTGCCCCTCTCTCTCTGCCCCTCTCTCTGCCCCCTCTCTCTATGCCCCTCTCTCTCTGCCCCTCTCTCTATGCCCCCTCTCTCTCTCTGCCCCCTCTCTCTCTGCCCCCTCTCTCTCTGCCCCCACTCTCTATGCCCCTCTCTCTGCCCCCTCTCTCTATGCCCCTCTCTCTATGCCCCTCTCTCTCTGACCCTCTCTCCTTGCCCCTCTCTCTATGCCCCCTCTCTCTATGCCCCTCTCTCTCTGCCCCCTCTCTCTATGCCCCTCTCTCCATGCCCCTCTCTCTCTGCTCCCTCTCTCTGTCACCACTCTCTCTGCCACCACTCTCTATCCCTCTCTCTCTCTCTCTCTCTGCCACCTCTCTCTGCCAACAATCTCTCTGACCCTCTTTTTCTGACCACCCTCTCTCTGCCCCTTCTCTGCCATTTCTCTCTGCCCTCTCTATCTCTGCCTCTCCCTCTCTGTCCCTCTGTGTCTCTATTTCTCTCTCTCTCTGCTCCATTCTCTGTCCTTCTCTATCTCTGCTCCTCTCTCTCTGCCCCTATGTCTACCCCTCATTCTCTACAGCTCTCTCTACCCTCTGTCTCTGCTCCTCTCTCTCCTTTTAAAGTATGCCCCCTGTCTGCCCGTCTCTCTGTTTCTCTCTCTCTCTGCCACCTCTCTCTGGCCTCTCTCTCTGCCCCTCTCTCTCTGCCCCTTTATATTTGCCCTTCTCCTGCACCTCTCTCTCTCTGCACCTCTCTCTCTGCCCCTGTCTCTCTGCCTCTCTGCCTCTCTGGCCCTCTGGCCCTCTGCCCCTTTGGCTCTGCCTCTGTCTCCTGAGTACTAGGATTAAAGGCATATGCAATATTTATTAATAGTAGCTAATGAATTACTATGATTCAGAAAATATGGATAGGAGTAACCATGTTGGATTGCATTGCAATTTTTTTAAAGCAGTGGACCTCACAGATGCTAAGAAAACATTCTGGTACTGAACTACATCCCCAGCCCTGAACATTTTTTTTTTTAATTCAGGGTACAAGTACTTGCTAGTCCGACAATCCCAATAATGTTGATGTACTACTCTGAAACCTGATTCTAATATGGATCATCTTCCAGAAAACATCTACATAGCTCTAAATTTTTCCATACTATTTCAATGGCTCTATGACCTCCAGCATCAATTCATGAAAACCCAGTTTAATAGTCCAACAGGATGAAGTAATTGATTATGCCCAATTAAAACTGAACTTACCTAATCCCCACTGGACAAAGCGCTCCACTCTGGGTTTAGTTTGGGAGTATATTTCCTAAGAAGATAAAAAGAAATGGAATGAGTAGGGTTTGTTGACTGGAAAGTAGCAGAATAAATATATTTGTTTTTACTGCATAAATTACCATTATTAACACTGTTCAGTGTTAGGGATGAATCTTGGGCCTCTAGCAGATTAAACATATATACTACCATTGAGCTATATCTCCAGCTAGTAACAGTTTTTAAACAAGACGATCTACTTTCAGTTTCATTGCTTTTTTTTTTTCTCTCTTTTGTAATTTACCTTTCACTAGTTGCGTGTTCATCAGAATGCTTTACTATTGCCACAGGAAGCAAAGATTTTAATAGATTGGTTTTGACAACCTACTCTTCTCACTCCTAAGACTAAAATTAATAATAAGACAGAAATGTGAAAGATTAGAGAAATAGCTCAGTGGTTAAGAGCACACACCATTTTTGCAGAGGACAAGAGTTCAATTTCCAACACCCACGGCAGGTGGCTTAAGATTATATGTACCTTGAACGCGCCGGCGCCGGCAGCAGGCTGGCCGAGCTCCATTTGCACAGTCGCCCTTGATGGCGGTGCAAGCAAGGCAGCCGAGGCACGTTGTGGCCACCACGCGCTAGAGAGTCTGCCCAGCCCCGCCCGTGCCCTGCCCGCCTCTTCCCGCGCGCCCTCCCTTAGGCATCGGGCGCCCGGCCTCGGTCCCCCCGCCCCCGCGTGCATCCCAGCCACCTCTGCCAGTGCCAAGGAGGGCACTGATCTTCGATCGCGAAGATGGCTGCTGGCTGCCTGCTGGCCTTGGCTCTAACATTTTTCCAATCTTGGCTGATCGGCCCCTAGTACGAGAAGCCCTTCCCTTCGGCCGTCACTATCAAGTCATATGTGGATAAGATGCAAGAAGATCTTGTCATACTGGCCAAAACAGCAAGTAGAGTGACTCAGCTTGCCGATATTTATGAAAAATATCAAGAGTTGTATACCGTGGAGCCAAATAATGCACGCCAGCTGGTGGAAATTGCAGCCAGAGACATTGAGAAACTCCTGAGCAACTGTTCTAAGGCTCTGGTGGGACACTGAAACCATTCAGAAACATCTGTCATCATCACGAGATGTTGGAAAGCAAAAGAAACGAAAATGGGTGTCTGTTCTGTGAAAAACACCAGCGTCTGTCAACATGAACACCATTTTTTTTTCAACCTGCCAATTAGAATGAGCTGATGGACCTAACATGGTTTTAGACAGCAGTGAGAGCTTGCATAAAAATGTTCAACTAGAATATCCTCCACATTTTCAGAATAAAACCAATTTTAAAAAGACATTATTCCTTTTGTGGGCAAAGTAACACACTGTGATGACTTTGGCCACACCCGTGGAGGTTGCATTTATGTAACTCATAAGGAAATCTAACACATCCTTACTTTCCTTGGCTTTTTTCCATCTCCTTGAAATAAACAAACAAATGAAAAAAAAAAATCCCTCAATAATGATGGCTAGAGGGTCTGATAACGGGAGAAAGTTAAATGTATCACACAAATAATTTTATTTTTAATGTATATGTTTGGAGATACCACTAATCAGTATGTACCAGCACTCTCTCGATAAAATCATTAATATTTCAAAAAAAAGATTATATGTAACTCAAGCTCCAGGCAGTTACAATGCCTCTGTTCCTCACACACACCTGAAGTCAGGCACATACACGTACGTGTACACACACACACACACACACACACACACACACACTTAAAAATAACAAAAAAATCCTAAAAGACACAATTGATATTCTTGATAATTAGAGGTGACGATTTCCCCACAAGATTAACACTGTCTTTAAAATTAAGTCTATTTTATGATTTGCCATGATTTTAGAATCTACATTTGGAAAACGATCCTTTGAAGTAGGAATGGGCAGCTTTACTGAGACCAATAAGTTGATAACTCAATTTTAAGAAGACATCGCAATCCTAAAGTAAATGAAGTTGTCAACATCCTCTCAGCAATACAATGGTTTTGAGGAGCTAGAGACGTATCTCAATGGCAAAGTTCTTATCTAGCACAAGGAAGGAACTGAGCTTCATGCTAGCTAGCTCTGGCAAACAAATGTGTAAATCCCCACCCCCAAAGAAAATAAAAGTGCAAACAATCAAATGGATTGTACATGAGGCTGGAGCAATGATCTGGCAGTTATATTCTTGTAGAAGACCTGGTTTGATTGCCAGCACCTGCATGGTGGCTCACAGCCACCTATAACTGCAGTCCCAAGGAATCTGACACTCTCACCCACATGGAGCGCAGCCATACATGCAAGCAAAACACCCATACACGTAACATAAATAAATGAATAAAAATGTAAGGGTGGCTTGTACATGAATATCAAATGGTCCTAAAGGAAATGAGAACGTAGCTAAAAGAATCTTCAAGAACTCATAGTGAAAAGGAAAAGTAGTAGTACAGGGTTATTAAAATGTATCAGAATGAGCTGCCACTGAGAAAAGGACTATTTTATAAATTTTGGTCTAAATCAGAACAAATTATCCACATACAAATGAGCTTGCAAAACAAATATTGAATGTGGAGGAGGATTAAAGAACTGCTATCATTTCATTAATAATCAACTATTAGCCAGGTGTTGGTGGTTCACGCTTTTAATGCCATCACTCGGGAGGCAGAGGCAGGCAGATCTCTGTGAGTTTGAGACCAGCCTGATCTACAGAGTGAGTTCCAGGACAGCTAGATCTACAGAGAGAAACCCTATCTCGAAAAAGCAAAAAAAAAAAAAAAAAAAAAAAAAACACAATGCTTGTGGGACAGTCATGAAGTCTAGAGTTCAGATCCAGCACCCATTTAACAAGCCAGCTATCCCAAAACACCTGAACACCTGTAACTCCAGCTCTGAGCAACCTGATGCTCTCTTCTGGCCTCTCTGTGTGCATACACTCTCACAGGTATACACACACACACAATCAATCCTTTCAAAAAGAGAAAAAACTGTGTATCAAAGTCTGGAAGGCTGGAAGGACAGTCTATCTCTTTTGCTGGCTTAATCATTTTGCCACTTTAAAGTTTCAATTAGTTCTTCAAGAAAGAACAAAAAATTTCCTGGTCTGAAGAAAAAAGGCCAGGAGTTAGACATATTTTTCTTCATGAAGAATTCAATGTGTCTAATAAAGTCATCCTAATTACAAGAAAACTTTGCCATTTATCAGTACCAAAATAAGCATGGTGATAACCAGCATATGATGTAGATGGATATTTTGTTATATGAATATCAAAGAAAAAAGTCGCTAAAAAAAAAAGATCTCAGGATGAAAGGTAAACAAAGCGCTTATTCCCAAAGACAGGGTCTCCTTATGTAGCCCAGGCAAGCTGCAACCTTGCAGCAACCATCCTCCTTTAGCATCTTTAGTACTGGGGTCATAGGCATGTACCACCACAACCAGCTTAGAAAAATACTTTTAGTATAGAACAAAGTGGGCTGAGAAATAGCTAGGTGGTAAAGTGTGTGTGTAGTGTGCTTATATTATTGATAGAGCTTGTGTGCTTTTTTTTCCCTCAATTGGTAGTTCAGCAACAGCATAATTGATGAAATTCAAATTTTTACAAAAAGTCTTAGACTAAAATTGAATTTTCAGATCTCAAGTAAAATAAATCCGGATCATCTTATACACATCTACATATTTTCCTTCCTTTCTTTTCAAAATCAAGATCAAGTACAGCAAATATGTACCAGAGCCTACAAAAGCATTCTATAGATTTCAAACTTTGGTTTCAGATGTTTTAAAATCAGAATACATTCACTTCCATTACAACAAAAGCGTGGAACCTAAAACATGAGCAAGGACAGAAGCCAATCTATACTTATAATACTTTGGTCACTTGGAGTGAATAGTTCAGTACTCAAACACGTAATTCTACCTAATTATGGAACCAACCTTCTATCACAGCACTCAAATACTCTATAATCATACCTAGGGCTTTTTGTTTGGTTGGATTTTCCTTGCTTGTTTATTTTTGGGACAGGATCTCTGTGTAGCCCTGGCTGTGCTAGAACCATATAGACCAGGCTGGCCTCACGCATCACAGAGATCTGCCTGCCTCTGCCTCCAGAGGATCACCAGTCAGTCTGAGGCAATGTAGTCAATTCTAGGCCAACCCTACAAAGTGAGGTCCTAAGAAACTAAACCAAGTAAATTAAATACGTAGAAAGCATTAATATATAAATGATGAAACTAATAATTAAAACATACAATGACATTTCACTATTAAGTCTTCAGTAGTTGTACCTGACACCAACTTGTATATGGCTCACACTGATGTCGGAGTTGGGAGATGTTTTCTTCAAGTTGAGTCCTTGGCTCCTCCACGTATTTAGATTGACCCTCAGGAACTGAGTAGAGTGAAAGCTACACATGTTAAAATGACAACAAAAAAAAGGGATATACTATGAGATCATGTAATATATGATTCATTTTGTAGGTTAATATTGCAAACAATTCGTAAGTAACAGTCACCTTAAGGGTTATATGCAATCACTGACTTTATTTCAGATGCTTTTTGTTCCGTTTCCTCACTAAGGACAAGGACAAGAGAGCAGGACTACAAAGTGCCCTGTCTTCTCCCTACCTACTCTATTGTTTTGGTTTGGTAGTGTGGGGTAACTACAGAACCTAGGGCCTCAAGCATGCAAGGCCAGCACCTCCAGCCCCCTTTATCCACTTTACAGATTGGTAACTGGTATTTTACCTCAAACTGAAAGTGGCAAAAATTCTACTAAAGAGTGGATGGAGGAGGTTTATTTGTGGGGAGGGCACAAGTCATGGTGCATGTGTGGCAATCTGAAGACAACTTTCTGAGTCAGTTTTCTCCTACCATGTGGGTCTCAGGTACCGAACTAAGTCATCAGGCTTTTATCATGGAGCCATATTCGCAGCCCTTGAGTTTTGTTTTGCATTTAAGAAAAAAAACTGAGCAGAATTGAAGAACAACTGGGTCCATGGATCAAATACCAGAATGCTACTGATCAAAGCAGGTGAGCAAATCCATTGCCCACCTAGGAAAGAGGCTTCTCAGTAGCCACTACTGGCCACCTCCCCGCCCACACACACACACACACACACACACAAACAATGCTACTCTTCTGAAGCCTGAGAGGAGAGGAAGGGAAAAGAGAAGCTACCTAGCTTTATGTAACACTAGTCAAGTAATCTTGCCTGGCCACTAGGGACAACTGCACATCATTTTATTTCAAGACAACAGAAATGGAATAAAATTAAAAAAATCTAAATAATTACTAGGAGGTTCAGAATATAACACTGGAGGGAAGATATTTTATTTAATCGATCTATTACATACTAATAATTATTTAAGCATCATCTAATCTTGCCAGGAACCAGAAAAAATCCAGGCCTTTAAATTCTTTGAAAGAAAAATGGGAATAGTTTTCTTAGCTTGATAAACAGTCCAGAATCAGGCAGGCTACTCAGAAAACTAAATTGTAAAAAGCCCACAACTGGACAATATACAGAAAAGCTTTTGGAGCACTCAGTCCTAAAAACCAAACCCCTACTCCAGGGCTCTGGGAAGTATATGGAAGAGGAGAGCTGTAAGAACCACAGGGGATGAAGGACTCCAAGAAAACAGTGTCTTTCAGACACAACAGGACTGAAGCACATATGAACTCAGCATGCACAGGGCCTGTACAGGTTCAAGCTAGTCAGGGTTCCAGTGCTAAGAGAAGGAAGCAGATACAGGCTCCCATCTCTAACCGAGAAGTTATCTCCAACTGACTACTTCTTGCAAAGGAGAAATTAGTTCTCTCCAATGGAGTCTCACTGGGGATATTAAATACACTTAAGAGCAGGTCCCCAGGGCCGGAAAGATGGCTCAGTGGTTAAGAGCACTGGCAGTTCTTCCAGAGGACCTGGGTTCAATTCCCAGCACCCACACAGCAATTCACAGCTGTCTCTAACTACAGTGCCAGGGTATCTGACATTGTCACACCAATGCATACAAAATAAAGTTAAATTATTTATTTTGGAAAAAAAAGAACAGGTCCAATGCCTAGCAGTAGATGTCCAACACAAAATGAATTCAATGGTATTTTTTGTAGATTTTTGTCCCATATTGCTTCATTTGGGCATATGTTTTTTGTTTTGTTTGTTTTTTTGTTTTGTTTTTCTTACTGGCCTTTTGTTTGTATATTGTGGTTCTAATTTTGTTTTATGGAGAAATAAAACAAAAATGATTTGTCTTTTTTAATTATGGTTTTGGTTTTTGATTCTTTGTTTGCCTACTTGTTTTCTGAAGAAAATGAGAAGTGTAAAGTTGGGTGGGTGGGAAGGTGGAAAGGAGCTGGGAGGAATTAGGGCAGGGAAAACAGCTATCTGTTAAAAATAAGTACTTATTAAGAAAAAGGAAGTAAGTTGTATTTATAATTCACTGGGATAGAGTAAGCTCTCCACTAAAAATTAAATCTATGAGCTATTCCTTATGTCCCTAGCTATATTCCACTATCATGTGTGGGAAAAATTGAAGTTCAGCAATTTCCCACAGAGAACAAACTATCAGGAAATGTATATGTCTTCCTTTCAAATACTTTCTAAGTATGCTAAGGATATACATTAGTATCTAGTACCTCAAACTACAAATCTTTTATCATCTTGACACATAATTTATAAAACTTCTCCTAACAAAATCAGATATTCACTATGTGCCATACAGTACCAGCATGTTACCTCGTCAACCTTCATGTAACTTTTGTGAGGTGAGTCCTTTTTGGGTGCTGCATAGACCCTGAAGGTGAGCAGGCTCAGGCTGGCTGGCCCCACACATCTCTGAATTACCTGAAATGCAAAGGCAATCTTAAATCTTTTCTCCATGCTACAAAGTACAACAATCGGAAGTAGACCCATGACCTCAGCCATTCCCACCCAGAAAAGCTTACTGCCCTTTCTGAAAAGTAAATGCATTTCTGAAATTCAGAGGATGTCAAAACATAAACATGTGTTCTGGAAGAGTTCAAATTTCAAGACTTTATCTTAATTTCCCAAAGATAAAAGTTCCAAAGCCTTCAACTGAAAAATTAAAAAAAGACACAGGTAGGCACATTGATACCACTCATCATTTTTTCCATCATGCCTGCCTTTCTATCTCTACATCGTGTCTCAGAAACTCTGAAGTATTTTGAAATTCATTCATAGAATATAATAGATCAATATTAGCTATAATCACTGTGCTGTGCAGTAGAACTTTCTAACTGTATCTTCCCAAAGTTTTGTATTCTTTGACTGATAACCTTCCTCAATCCAAATCCCAGTCACTGGTAGCTACCATTCTCCTGTCTGCTTCTATCACTTCAGTATTTTTAGATTATATTTAAATAAGAATAAATTAAGGAAATAATAAACAAGTTAATTACCTTCATTTAGACATACTATAATAGATACATACATATTGATAGATATAGATACATCATATATATATATATATATATATATATTAAATACATTCTTTTTTGCCCATTCAAAATAAAAAATAAGCAGCCAATGGTGGCCCAAACCTTTATTCTCAACACTCAGGAGGCAGAGGCAGGCAGATCTCTGTGAATTCGAGGCCAGTCTGGTTTACAGAGTGAGTTCCAAACAATCAGGGCTACACAGTGAAATCCTGTCTCAAAAAACAAAATAAACACCAAGGTCATCTTCCCCTCCACCATCAATCCTTTTGGTCACTAAGCTCTGGTAATTATGCCTAATAAATGATGTCACTTTTACTTACTCTTTATCACCTCCTGTACAGTCCTTCCTTGAGCCTTCATTTCTTTCCTAGGTCATTTTTAGCAGCCCTCTATCAATTTAATAGATGATCAATCTAAACTACATCCCTGACTAGATTCTTTCTATCTTTACCTTATTACCTAGGGCTTTTATGTGAAGTAAAGATTTGCTACAACCAGCCACAACCACTTTACCTAGCCTTACTCTGAACTGTGGTCACAAAATGTGAACTTTCTGTATTTCTCTCATGTTGTTTTCCAGCTACCTGGGTTTATGTAGACTTCTTGAGTACAAGATCAACCCTAGGCTATAGAGTGAGACCAAGGCCAGCCTAACCCTCATATCCAGGCCCTGTCTCAAACAAAAACCAAAAAGACTCAGGCATCGATTAATTCTTCAGCTCCAGCCATGAGAGTAGATTCCTGGAAATTAGCCAAGATAATAAATCAGGTAATGCCATACACATTCAAATCATAATGGTACACAGAAAGCTAAAGTGTTTTTGCTGCTTTGCAAGTTAAAGAGTACTACCCAGAATTCTGCAGCTTGGGAACCAGCTTGCTATCCCTGTAAAATTGCTTTAAAAACAAATGGAAAACTTGAGTCAATTAAGATGCCTCCAAATCCCTAAAACCCTGACAACTTGCCTTCTAACTCTAAAGAGTATCCAGTGGATAGTCTCTTCCATTTTTTTTAAGTAGGAGGCCTGTGTTGGTTGGTTTTATGTCAACTTGACACAAGCTACAGTCATTTGAGAGATATGAACCTCAACTGAGAAAATGTCTCCATAAGTTCAGGCTGCAGTTTAACCTGTGGGACATTTTCTTAGTGATTATTGTGGGAGGGCCCAGGCCATGGTGCCACCCCTGGGCTCTCTAAGAAAGGAGGCTGAGTAGGAAAGCAAGCTAGTAATTAGCACCTCTCCATGGCCACTACATCAGCTCCTGCCTTCAGGCTCCTGCCCCGGCTTCCTTGAGTTATGGACTACAGTATGCAAGTGTAAGCCCAATAAATAAACCTTTTCCTCCCCAACTTGCTTTTTTGGTCATGGTGTTTTTAGCACAATGGTAACATTAAGACAAGGCCCTTTTATTCTCCCAGAAGTAAATACCTTTCCTCTTATCAGGCCTTTCTTTTTCAATAAAAGGCCTTTTGTGTGTCTATGGACATGTGGGGTTTCAGAATCATCAGAGGACTGTTTTAAAAGAAAAGATTCTAGTACCTTCCCCTACAGATTCTGACTTGGTAAATCTAAAGGAACCCAATAATGTATTAACTACAAGCCAAGTTTCAAAAATTACCATTCTACAAGATGCTTAGGGAACAGATACTCACAATAAGTTGGCCTGAATAATCAAGTGCACTTATTTTTAAGAACATTTTAAAGACAATGAACTGAAATGAAAAATGTTCAAAACATTAAAAACAGTAGCATCAATCCAGCAGTGGTGGCGCATGCCTTTAAACCCAGCACTCTGGAGGCTGAGGCAAATGGATCTCTGTGAGTTCAAGACCAGCAAAATACTCATACACATAAAATAATATAAATAAATCTTTTAAAACATATTGGGCTCTGATTAGCTTAAGTTAAATAGATTCACTTTGCTTAACCATATGGAGAAGAAATGGTTTCATGACAGTTCAAGGACAGTCATGGCTATGCAGCAAATTTGGAACAAGCCTGGGCTATTTGAGACACTGTCTAAACCAACAAAAAATAAATAAAAAGAAAAAAGAAGAAAAACTACTTTCTGCTATTGCAAATAGAACTATTTATGAGCTTTCAATTCTGTATTTTTGTGCCAAAGTTGCTGCTATTTCCTAGTTCTTCTGTATCTACTATAAAGACTGTAATCTTAAAAGATAAGCAAAGAAAAAATTGGGGCTTGAAAAAAAATCAACATCTTTTCCTCACACAAAACTATTATACTTTCTTTGTGGGGGTGACAAATATCACTACAAAAATTATACCAATAAAGCAAAGAAAATACATTTCATCTGCAATTATCCCTGATTTTTTCAAATATACATAGAAAAAGTGACAAACTTGTATAAGAGAAACAGTTAAGAAATCTCCTGGCCAAAGAATGTGCTTTAAAGAAAATTTTTAAGTAAAAATCATGTCTAAGATCCAACTAGTTGATGGTAATCTGGATTTATGGTAAAAAAAAAACTGTTTAAAAAAAATGAAAACAAGATAAATAATATTTGGGCTATATGCAGCAACCTTAACAGAGTTCCTGAACAGATCCTAAAAACAAGCTCAGAGGCAGTATTTTCCAGGTGACATAAGTCAACAAAGCACAGTGTAGGAGAGTTGCCCAGAATCCTTGTCTCACTCTTTGCTTACTTACCAGTCTGTGAGTTCAAGGCCAGCCGGGTCTATAAAGCAAGTTCCCAGATAGCCAGGACTGACTGTTACACATAGAAACCTATCTCGAAAATCCAAAGGGGGGAAAAAAAAAACAGAAAGAAATAAAACTGCTACTGCTTAATTTCCTACAATAAACTAGGGGAAAACTTAGAAAAGGTTATAAAATATATTCTTTCATTTATTATTTCTTAGATAAAGAGAATGTTATGAGGAGCATGACCAAACTCATATGAATATACCTGACATGGGCACTGCTGGTCGCAGATCCAGTTTCCATTATACCTCTTCCTTCCTAAAGAACCCCACTGTGCTCATGAAACCATTTCTTCTCCATATGGTTAAGCAAAGTGAATCTATTTAACTTAAGCTAATCAGAGCCCAATATTACTCTGATAACTACTATTGGGCTAGGGACAGACACCTGACCCATGTTGGTCCAATCAGGCCTGAAGGAAAAAACATAATCCAAGTGTGGGAGTTTTATCCTGCCGTCTTCCCCTAGTGAATGACAGAGTAATGTTACTGGCAGTCATCTTGTAACTGTAAGGAAACCAACAATACCATAGTAAATCCAGAAGAGCCAGGTCTTAAATGACAACGAGCCAAACAAATCAATGAGTTCAATGTCCGTCCTTCCTCTGGGTTTAGTGAGATAATTCTCTTCAGTATTTTACAATTAGATTTTTATTACCCCAACTTCACCAATAGAAAAAAGTCACAGAACAGTTAAGTGGCATGTCCATTATCACATAGCTAGAAACTGGCAATACCACAGCACTGGAAGGCAGAAATCATGACATGATTTTGTAGCCCTTACTAATGCACCCCAAACACTGCAGCAGCAGGAAACTCCTAAATGGGTAGCACAAATTTTGAGATTTTATTAGCACTATTCTATAAATATTATGTTTCTTGGAGAGTTGATTTTAAAGATTTCTGGATGCTTGTGTGTTTGTTTTTGTTTTTAGAAAGGGTCTCTTTATGTAGGCTTGGTTGTCCTGGAATGTGCTCTGTAGAACAGGCTGGCCTCAATTTCACTAAGATCCGCCTGCCTCTGCCTCCCCAGTGCTGGGATTAAAGTTTTGTGACACTACTGCCCGGGGTCCTGTAATTTTTTTTTTAAATGACAAAATATAACTGACTTTTAAGAAAGAATAACTTTACAGTAAAACTCAGGTTTTTGAAAGTCTTCACTGTGTGTCTGTCTTATGGAGGACGGTCCAAAGAAAAATCTGTAAGGGATAAGAATAAGAATCGACTTCTCCACGATAATGCTCACTCGGGAGTAAGCTCCAGCTTCCCCCAAAGTAGCGTCTCCCTCCCTCCCCAGCCTCTGCACATCCTCTAAAGCTAACCCTCCCCCTACCCATGCCAGGTTCTGAAACCTGATCCTGCCAAGCAACCAGTCACGAACGCTGCAGTGCCCGGACCTGGCCTCATCCTACCCACGACCCCAAAAAGGGAATTGGCCGAGGAAGTGGGGACTATAGCTGCGTTTTACATTTTCAAAGCGTTTCATTCTCGAGAAAAGTACTCTAGGGCTAATCCCACCCAGGTAGGGCTCCAAGCCTCAGCCTCACAGGTGCTGGTGCCAGCAGTGAATGAATCGCTGGGCCAGGACTTAGCCAGCCCGGAAGTGGGCAAAGCCTCGAGTGGAACCGAGTCTGATTCCCAAAGAGGCCCTACGGGTACGTGGAAAGGGCTCCCGGCATCTGAGAGGGGGCGATGACAGCCGTGACACGGCTCCACGCTCTCACCTTGAACATGTCGCTGGCAACCGGGGCTCCGGCAGGGTCACCCCGCTCTTGGCCCCGCCCACTGTAGAAAAGCGACTACGGAGGCCCGCTTAGATCCTGATTCCCTTGAGCGCGAGCAGGCTGTGGTGCACGAGATGATGATGCTCCCCCCTCCCAACTCAACCCGCCAAAAGCCAAAAGCTCAAATCAACCGCTAGGAGGCGGGTCGCGGTGCTTAGCAACGGAGAGGCGCCCGCGCGCGGGAGTCTAATGAACCCAAGCCCCGCCTTCTCGTTGGTCCTGCTTCCACGCCGGCTGTTGCTAGGCGGCAAAAGGCAGCAGCTCCGTGTGGGCGGCAAGTTGTGGTAAGAAGAGGGAGGCTCCTTGGCGCCCTGCGGTGCTGATATTGGCTTTCGCCTCCACCATTCGGCGTCCGGCTGTACTGGATGGGAATCCTATGAGCCTAGGTAGCCAGGCGGTGGCGCCCAACCGATCTGAGGAGGCTGCACCAGCCTCTCAGGTAGAAGCTGCAGACGACTTTGGGGCTTCCATTTACCTTACAAAAGGTTTTTTTTCCTTAAAGAATTTACTGTATGCTGAATGTTCCTTAAATTTTAAGTCATACTATGTACACCACGTCATTTAATGGCGAAAAACTGACCCTATAAAAAAAAAGTACTGAGTGTAAATCTGAGGATCAAATATTTATCCCATTTAATACTTGTAGAAGTAAAATGACAGTATTTAACTGTTCGCCAGGAAAGAAAAAAACAGGCGTTAACAATGGTTTAAACGCGTAATTTTATTGATCCCGCACAAGTGGATGGTTCTCATTGCCGAGTGTCCAAGGCTGCGGAAAATCTAAAGCTAAGATCCAATTCCAGGTAGTCTGTCTTTGAAATCTCTGCGCTAGCCTCAGGAAACGCTAGCGCGTCCCGTTAAAAACGGTGTATTTCGTATTTCGTCCTGTATTTCTGTCCTAATTCAACAAAGATGGAAGCCACATAGGTATCCTGAAGATTTGGAGATTTGTTCGGTGGAAGGTCACTGTCCTCTTATCCAACGACTCCTAGAAACACACCTGTCCTAAAAAGAAAATATTTTGTTTTATTAATTTGCTGAGAGGAAAACAAAACAACAACGAAAACGGCCATCAGGGGCAAACTGAAGCATTTCAGTAAGAAAATGTTAACGTTTGTCATAGTATTTGAGTTCGGCTTAATGATTTGTGGTTAATGTTTTTTTTGAGTAGAACTTGTAGATGTGAGCAAGCGTCTGGCTAAGGCTCAGCCAGACAAACTCCCAAATGTTAAGGGCAGTTTTTTTCCTTCTCAACAGAACTGTACGTTCCAAGCCATCCCCATCTCCAGTCCCTAAGGAGAAATAGACTCTGAAGGCTCTGCATCAGTAAGGTAATATCTTAAAAGTGTGAAGCATAGAGATAAATTACAGCGGAAGCTCTTAACGCAGGGAGTATGTGAACTGGGGAAAGAGGGAAATGACAACTTCACCCTCACTAAACTCTAACTGAACTTTAGCATTTCTCTCAAGTACAGTGTAGGCAACAAGCCTCCCAGTATTAGCAGTACCTGTGAGTGTCACCAATAGAAAGCAGAGATATTTTCATACCATTTACAGGCACTGCAGCTAACTAAAAATATCACTTATGCTCATTGCTACAAAAGTACAATGGTTATTAGATTTTGTTTTATGCATGAAGAAGACACGAATTACTGCAATTTCATTTTTAAAAGTATTTAGAAGATATGACTAAGAATTTTGGAGCTTTATCCAAACTGGAATATAATGCTTCAAACTGAGAAAGTTAACAGGCAGAATCAAGTAATGTCATCCATGCCTGCTCACATCACCAAAAGGGCACTGAACCGTGAAGAAGTTAAGTAATTTGCCCAATGTCTCACAAGTATTTAATAAAAACTAGACATAAAACTCTACAGAAAATATGTAAAATCCCTACCCCGACCCTGGTACCTCCTGCCATTAAGAAAATTGTGAGGAGAATGAATATCCTTGAATTGCTGTTCCAAAAGGTTAAATTCGAGCCAGGTGTGGTGGTGGTGAATGTCTGTAATCCCAACACATGGGATGTTGGGACAGGAGGATCAGTTTAAGGCTACCCTCTACTACATAATGAGATTAAGGCCAGCTTCTGCTACATGAGACCACTTGTCACAAGAAGAAATGTTAACTTCAGCTGTAGGGTGAATAGGAATGAAAAGATAGGAGAGAGGGAGGTCAGTTAGGAGGTCGTGGATAGATTCACTGTCTTTCCAACAAACCACTTGGTATTTTTAGTATGGAAAGAATGTAAACTGTAAACAACACTAAAAGAACAATGTTTTCTTTTTAAAGGGGTTCTAAAAATTAACACAGCAATCGTATGACATTTGAGTCTAGTCCAAATGTAATAATGTGGGAATTATGACCTTAAAAGCTTAATGTATGTGTGTTCAGATTACTTCTTTGTAGGGAAATGAAAAAGTCCTCAAATACAACAGGTACTGGTTCTCCAAAATCAGATAGTCAGCTCCCAGAAAAAATCCACAAGACACAATCGGCACGTGCTGCAAAGATAAAGGCAAGAAAAGAGTAAGAAGCTATCTTTTTGCCTTTTGTCGTTTTTCCACAACTAGACAAATTAAAAACTTACCCAGAGTGGTTTTGTGTGTGTGTGTGTGTGTGTGTTTGTGTGTGTGTGTGTGTGTGTGTGTGTGTTACAAGACAGTGTTTCTCTGTGTAGCCCTGGCTGTCCTGGAACTCCCTCTGTAAAGCAGACTGGCCTTAATCTCAGAGATCCACCTTAATGAAGGCTAGGACTAAAGGTGTGCACCACCATGTCCAGTTAAGTTTACCCAAGTTTAGTCAGATAACTTTAAACATTTCTTAATGTGTAAATTAAAACTTTGGTGTTTTTAAAAAGTACCTTTAAGTTGAATATTATAGCTTTAGAATTTTATAATTTGCCAAGCATGTTTACACACCTACAGCCTTCTGAAGCAATTTTGTTATTACACATTACAAGTAAGAAAAACAGGACTGGAGAGATCTCAGTGATTAGGACTCCCTTTCCTAAGGACCCGAGTTCTCTTTCTGGTACCCATGTTAGGTGGCTCACAACTACCTGTAATTCCAGCTCCATGGGATCCAACACCACTGGCCTCTGTGGGGACCTGCACTCATATGCACATACACATACAGACACAAACATAGAATGTAATTAAAATATTTTTAGTCTTAAAAAGTGAGAAAAAGCCAGACAGTAGTGGCACACACCTTTAATCCCAACATTTAGAAGGCAGAGGCAGATTTCTGTGAGTTTGAGGCCAGCCTGGTCTTCAGAGTGAATTCCAGGACATCCAGGACTGTTTCACAGAGAAACCCTGTCTAGAAAAAAAGAAGTGAGAAAAAACACAACTGGGAAGAAAGTTAAACCAGTTAGTGAATGATATCAACTAGAATTCAAAAGGTCTATTTCTGTAATCTGGGCCTTTTTATCTATTATTATTATTACTATTACTATTATTATTTTAAGAAGGATGGCTGGCCTGGAACTCACAGAGATTTGCTTACCTCTATTCTCAGGTGCTGGGTTTAAAGGCATGTGCCACCATGTCCTTTTCTATGTATGTGTGTGTGTGTGCTTGTGACAACCATGGGTGTCATCTTTAGGAATGCCATTCAACTCCATTGAAACAAGCTCTCTCGTTGGCCTAGAGTTTGCCAATTAGGCTAGACTGGCCTCTTGCTTCCACATCCCCAGCACTGGGATTACAAACACAGGTCATCATGCCAGGCATTTTTATATGCGCTCTAAGGATCAAATTCAGGTCCTCATGATTGCATAGGAAGCTTTTACCAACTGAGTTATTTCCCCATACCTTTTTTTCCTCTACATCTTGTAGTGTGCATTTTGCCAGCCAGTAGTGACACTGTATAGATGTCCCGGTCTTGGATATAGCCCTAGGAGAGATACTGACTGGATGGGAGAATGCAAAGACCCACAAAATCGGTTGGTGCTGAGACATTATGTAAAGTAAATCATTTCTCTAGCCTGACTGGAATGAACTGAGCTTGAGCAAAGATCAGAAAAGGGAATTTCTTTTTCTAGATCATAATCATAAGCCCCTAGAAAAGAAACAGGGCCTCGTGTAAATTCTACTATTTTAGATTGTGTTTTCATTGCACTTTACTAAGTACTTGTAATCCCAGCACTAAGGAACCTGAGGTAGGAATTGAGTCTGAGGCCAGCCTGGACTAAGTTCCAGGCCAGTATGCAGTACATAGTGAGACCCTGTCTAAAAAAATTTTTTAAACCTGGCAAATTATTGTGTGTGCTGTGATGTATGTGCATGTTCATGTGGGTGTGGGCAAGTTTATGCGGGTGTACACACACTTGAATATATGTGTGAAGGCCAGAGACCTTCCTCAGTAGTTCTCTAGCTATGTGTATGGTAGGAGGATGTGCATGTGTGCACAGGAACATTCACCTGGCCCATACACATACAGATGGAAATCAGAGGTAGACACCAAGTGTCTCTCCCTCGATCAATCTCCACTTTATTTAGTTTTTGAGATAGGGTCTGGAACTGAATCTGGAGTGTACAATTTCAGCTAGACTGGCCAAAAAGCAACTGGACTCCTCCTGTCTGCACCCACCCCCACCCAGTGTTGTGATTATGAAAATGCACCACAGCACCCAACTTTTACATAGGTGCTCATGCTTGCCTAGCAATCTTTACCAATTGAGCCATTTTCTAAGCCCCTTCACCTTATTTTTTCTATATATATGTATATAGAAATATACATATATTTCTTATTTAATAAATTTTTCTTATTTTACATATTGATCCCAGTTTCCTCTCCCTCCCATGCCACGACCCCTCCCATCCCATCCCCCCCCCCAACTACACAGGAAGGCTTCTAGTAGGGATCATCAAAATCTGTCAAGTCATTTGGAGTAGGGTCTGGGCCCTCCCTCCTGCCTCTAGGTTAAGGGAGGATCCCTCCATGGGGAATGTGCTTCCAAAGTCCTTTTGTGCACCAGGGATACATCCTGATTCCACTGTCAGAGGTCCCTTAGACTGCCCAGGCCTTCTAGCTGAGACCCATGTTCAGGGGGTCTGGGTCAGTCCCATGCTGGATTCCCAGCTATCAGACTGGGGGGTCCATTAGCTCCCCCTTGTTCAGGTCAGCTGTCTCTGTGGGTTTCTGTACCTGGTCTTGTCCTCCCTCTCTGCATCTGGATTCCAGTTTGGCTCAGTGTTTAGCTGTTGGTGTCTGCTTCTGTTTCCATCAGCTCCTAGATGAGGGCTCTATGATGGCATAACTAACTTCTACGCCATCACCTTATTTTTTGAGAGGGCCTCTCTCACTGGACTGGAATTCACTAACAAGGCTAGGCTGACTTGTCAAGGAGCCTCAGGGATCCACCTGCCTCCCCCTTCTCCAGTGCTGGGATTACAAGCATTTGCAAACACTTCTATCATTTTATATGGTTTCGGGCTATCGAACTCAGGTTCTCATTCTTTACCCACAAAGCCATTTCACTAGCCCCACAAATGATTTTAGAAGGCCAATTTGCCTTCTCACATCTTCTATTTATTCATATTCTCTCTTTTCCGATCCCTTTCCCTTCTATCCTTCCTCTTCCTCCCTTCCCTCTCTCTTCCTTTCTTCCCCCACCCCAAACCCCCAGCAGTAGTAGGAATAAGTCCCTGGATCTCTGGTACTTAGTAGAGTTCTTTCCTAGTGTGTACAAGTCCTTGGTTCAATTTCCATCACCACATAAGTCCTTGGTTCAATTTCCATCACCACATAAAACCAGGCATGGTATAATCCCAGCACTGAAAAGTTAGAGGCAGGAGGATCACAAGTCATTTCATATCCAACTCTTCAAAGCCAGCCTGGGTTACAGAAGACACTGTCTCAGAGAGAGGGAAGAAAGGAGAGAGGGAGGGAGGGAGGGAGGGAGGGAGGGAGGGAGGGAGGGAGGGAGGGAGGGAGACAGAAACAGAGACAGACTGATTTACACCAGGACTGTATCCTTAACCCAAATTCACTGTGTAGTCAAAGCTGGCATTGAACTCTTGATCCCCCTGCCTCCAGCTGCTAAGTGTAGGGATTATAAAACTATGCCACCATGTCTGGCTTGAATTACAAGAATATGCCACCATGTCTGGCTTTATGTATATGTCTTGATAAAGTTTTAGGTGAATTTTTTTATCTCAGGGGAAATATTAATTATTCCATATCCTCATTCTGATTAGAGACTATGAAGACTAGTTCCAGTTACTCTATCCAGATGTTCCATATTAAGCCAGTTTTAGTAATGGGGAAATATAAGAGGGTGCATAAGGTGAGAGTTGTCTAAGATTTCAGGAAAAGGAAAAGTACTTCATAAATTGTTAACATCTTTTTCCTCTTATAATTATTAGAGAGATTTCAGCAACAAAAATACAGAAAGCCTGGTTCGTTTATGTGGACAAAACATTGTTTAAACTCCTAAAACACACAGTTTGTGCAGCGGTATGTATTTTTTTTCTCTGACAAATGTTATTCCTTAACTAGTTGAAAGACTTGTTAATTAAAGATAGAGCAAATAACCCTCTTTATATCTTTGACTTAGGTATAATAATGTTATTCAAGTTCTAAAATTGCTTCTTTTATTAATCTTAATGGATATTTCTGTTGTTTTTTAAGATTTGTTTATTTTTATTTTATTTATGTGTATTGATGTCTTCGAGTTTATCTGTGCACTGTGGCATGCAGTGCCTGTGAAGACCAGAGATCATATTGGATAATTGTAATGTGGGCATTAGGAATCAAATCTGGGTCCTCTGGAAGGTCAGTCAGTACGTGTAACTTCTGAGCCATCTCTCCAGCCCTCTGGCTTTAGTCTTAATATGAATGAGCCTGGTCTATAGAGCAGGTTCCAGAACAGCCAGAGCTACAGAGAAACCCAATCTCAGACAATTAAAGAACTAGGGGTGTAGTTCAGTTGTAGAATGTATGTCCCACATGTTTGAGACCCTGGGTTTGATCCCCAACACTACAGGGGAAAAACTCCCTGAATTTAAAAATGTACTTTTCTTTTACCCAGCAGTTTCACTTCTTTTAGAAAGGATTTATTTATTATACATGTGTATGTATGTGAGCCTGGGTGAGTTTATGTGCACCATGTGCGTACAGGAGCCTGCAGAATAGAGCACAAGATCCCCTGAAAGTGTAGTTACAAACAATTATGAGCTAGGAACCAAACTGAGGTCCTCTACCTAAACAGTACATGCTGTTAACCACTGAACCATCCCCAGCACTTTCACAGCTGAGTGCATTCTACAATATCATTTCATTGCAGCATTGGTTCATAGACACAAGTAAACATCTCTGTCTTCATAGGTAAAGCTTGCGATATTTCATAAGTAACGCTTGCAATATTAACATGATTCTACAATAGAAAGATAACCAAGATAGCTGGATAGTGAAAAGGACAAATCAGAACAGTATGAGGAATATAATCCCATTTGAATAAAAATAACAAACAGATGTCCATACAAAACTCATTTTTAATTATCATGTTACTGCTTTCCTCATAATTTTAGGCTCTCAGTAAATAAGTGAAGTTAATCAGTTATTTTTTTATATCTTTGTTCCAATGCTTCAAATTAATAATGCTTTGTTTTAGCCAGTTGGTGGTGGCCCATGCCTTTAATCCCATCCCTCTAGAGGCAGAGGCAGGGATATCTCTGAGTTCAAGGCCAGACTGGTCTACAGAGTGAATTCCAGGAACCCTGTTCAAAAAAAAAAAAAAAAAAAAAAAAAACCTATTATTATACATTTTATGAAATCATCACAGGCATAAAATTGAACAGGGCCATTTAAGGAAAAGAATGGAAATTTTAGAGTCAAATAAATCTACAGGGTTTTTGAATCTTTATTAATTTAGTTTTTACATTCCAATCCCAGTTCCCCCTCACTCCTCTTCTCCCGCCCCCCATCCCCCCATCCTACCTCCCATCTGCTCCTCGGAGAGGGTAAGGTCTCTCCTAGGAAGTCTATTAAATCTATCCCATCATCTCATGGAGGCAGGACCAAGGCACACCCCACACTTCTCTATCTAGGCTGAGCAAGGTATCTCTCCATATAGAATGGGCTCCACTAAGTCAGTTTGTTCATTAGAGTTAGATCTTGGACCCACTGCCAGTGGCCTCATATATTAGATCTACGATTGAGGCTTAACTTTCTCATTTATAAAATGACAGTAATAATATTTTGCCCAAAAGCAGAATATTATTACTCTCACTTAACACCGTTATCATCCCCATATTACCATAATTCATTCAACATTAAACACATGTTAAGTTTCTTGTGTGTTTCAGGTACTGTATTAGATGCTAGGAATATAATAAAAAAGAAAGATGCTGTCTATACCTTCATGATGCTTCTAATCTAGTTGGAGACAGATAAATCTGTAGATAAATGCAATAAATTAAGGCAAAATATTATCATAGGGATCTCAAAATGTCTGTGATCTCAAACGACATAGATACTCAAACTTGGAAACCCCGGAGTTGAAATAACAGATGAAAGGCTATATAGATGATAAATGGAGGAGTCAAGAATATAAATCTACCTCTTTAGAACCCTGAGTCCAGGGTACTGATCATTTCACTATGCTTTCATTCTTTTTGTTGTTGTTGTTTTCTTTTGTTTTGTTTTGTTTTGTTTTGTTTTGTTTTGTTTTGTTTTTTGAGACAGGGTTTCTCTGTGTAACAGTTCTGGCTGTCCTAGAGCTCACTCTGTAGACCAGGATGACCTCAAATTCACAGAGATCCACCTGCCTCTGCCTCCTGAGTGCTGGGCTTAAAGGTATGTGCCACCACCGTTAGGTGGCTGCTTCTGTTCTTGTAATCAATAAATGACATCTGGCAGGACAACACTTTCCATTTACAGTGACTTCATTTATTTCAGGAATATTGTGTGGCACATGAACTACTGAAGAAAGTAAGCCCCATAGAAGCTGCACTTATTAAAGATCCTAGCATGAAGTGTAAAGTTAGATTCAGGTAATGTAATTAGCTGAGTTATTTCATAGGATTTCTTTAAAACTAATTATTTCTCAGGACAAAATTAAAAGTAAAGTATTTCCCTGTTTATATTTGTTATGACTGTACATAGGCTAAGACATGACTCTGGCTATAAGTTGACATGGAGTCTCACCCCCATTGTGTCCACAAATATGAGAATAGTTGTGACTTTCACCTTTGGATCCATTTCTTTGCTAGATCTTTATATGTTCTTTATATGCCCTGTATTTGAAAAACTGTGAGTTTTGCTAGGTACATGAGGAACAAGCCCCACAATCAGTGCCACATCACTAATTTTTTAATCTTTATTTCAGATTTGGTGGTGAAACCTTTCCACCTTTTATCGTGTTCAAAATTTTTTTTAAAAATGATGGCCATGGTTACAAGTATTTCAGTGGGAAAGATTTACTAAAGCCGTCAAGTAAGGTGATGTTTCATGATGGATGTTTTATATTCATTTATATTAATATTGCTTCTTAACATCTCTGTGATATCTAAATTGCATTCCAAGTATACAAGCCATATTTCAAAATGTCTCCACTAAAACAAATCTGAAATACTTATATGAGGCTCTGGGGGAAAAAATGTTTTCTTTATGTTAAGTTCTGGGGAGGCAGGGCTAGGAATGGTCTCTGATTTAGAAGCCAGCCTGGTCTACAGAGCGAGTTCTAAAAAACTATATTAAATAATACATTATAATATATATTGATTTATTGAGACAGGGTTTCTCTATGTAACCCAGGCTGTCCTGGAACTCTGCCTCCCAAGTGCTGGGATTAAAGACTTGTGCCACTGGCATGAGAAGTATTTTCACCTTACAGTTGAGGGATAATTCATGTCATGCTCATCTTCAGAATAAGCTGAGGTTGTTTCTATAAAAGTACAATTGGACTTTTCCAGGAACTTAAATTCTCCTGGGTCTGTTCCATTGTCCCTATTCTTAAGCTTAAGAAAATGGGAATATCAGAAGGAAAAAGTCAGGAGAAAACAATATTTATTCATTAAAACTCATTGAAACATTGAATAATAACTTCATTTTTTATTTATGAAGTAAATGTTGAGGGGGAAGAATAGCCCAGTGATATAAAAAAGAAAATGTGACTTCCCTTTCCTCCAGCATCCTGAAAGCTTCATCACATTCCTTGCTGTGTCTCCATCATCCAACTGTCTAAGAACCTGCTAACAGACAGGAGTAAGACAGCTGGGTTTTAGGAAATCCCAAAACAACACCCAAGGAATACCGACAAGACTCCAAAAAGATGGGTAAAAAGGAAGACCCTGACACGGAAACTTTACTTCACAAAGGCATTATAGTTCAGAATTTAAATAATAAGAGAAAACCAAGGGAGCAAAGAGTTCCCCCACTAGAGGAAAATCCCAGGATGAAATGCAAAAACTGTGGGGCTTTTGGACACACCATAAGAAGCAAGAAATGCCCCATCAAGTCCTGGGATGGTGCCAAGGTACCACTGCCCTTGGGCGTAAAGAAGGAAAAAGAGAACCATGACCCACGAAAGCCAAAGAATCTTCAGAGCACTGAGCCAGTGTATGAGACAGAGAAAGAGAAGAGAGAGAGAGAAAGATTAGAGCAGCAGAGGAAAGCTCTCCTGCTCAAATTTCCCAAGAAACCCCCAGAGAGGAAGCCACAGAGTTGGAAGGATACTACACATTCTGGTGACTATCTGAGGCGTCCAAGTAGACCATCATTCATCCATACAAACAAGAAATTACCCCTGAAGTGTACTCAAACTAGTCTGCTAACACTCAAGAACTCTGATGGGGAACATACATCACCTTCCATAGAAAAGCCTAATAGTATCTTACCTCTTGAGGAAAATAAACCTCAGACCTCAGAGGTCCCTAACATGCCAAAACCAGCCACTGGGCACAGTGCTGCACACCCAACTTTCAGTGGGAATCCAACAGACCAAAGCACAGAGCATTGCTTCCATCCGGTTCCCCAGGATGCCTTCAAAGTGCAGGAGATGGGCCACATGTTGGACACCCAGCCACCAGCACAGCATTCTGATGAAGATAAACACTCCAACCTGTACTCTGCAGCACATGCAGATAGCCAGCGTCCAAAAATCAGCCTCAAGATAATCCGTGATAGAAGTCTCCAGCTCCTCACCCAGATTATCCAAAATCCTCCAAAGAAACGGCGCCTAAGTTCCTACCAGAAACCTCAGAAGATCTCTGACAAGCCTATGTTGGAGGCTTTCCGTGTTGTGTCAAATTCTTGTACCAGTCCAGTTGAATCAAAAGGGATACCTCAAGTGACCAGTGTTGAACAACATCCTCCACACAACAGAGCTGTCCTGAATTTCACCCAGCCTTTCACTGAGCCCCGTCACCCATTGTCCAGCCAAATTCCAGTCCAACCCCTCCGAATGGTCTTCACTAGATTGAGAAATGATTGCTGGAGCTCCAGGATCGTGGAAGCTGCCTCATCCCATCCTCCTGAAAAGAAAGTATCTTCTGATAAGGTCTCGCCCTCCCTGAAGCAGTCTGAGGGACCATATCCCAGGGTCCCACTGAGCATCATCATAAGGTTCCGTCCACCCTCCTCCTTTGAGGTGAAGAAATGAGAAGAACACATGGAAAATGACTCTGTCTCCAGCCTCATTGGGCTTTGTTGAGGACTTGTGGATGGAGGAGAGAGCACAGGAAGCTGATTGAGCCAATTGATTAGGGTCTTTGAAGCATATGAACTGCTCAAATACCATCAGCCAAGCAACAGACATAGACACCATTCAGATTACATAGACTGTACTTCAAATGGAGTTTACTGGGGTGAAATGTTAAGGAGTCTCACATGAAGTCTGTAAAAACTTGAGTTGGTATGTACATGCATTCATTCACATGTAAGTAGAAAACCAGACTTAGCCAGATTAGCATCCAAATGTCTGTGCTAGTAGGAGGTCTGGATGATCTCTAGGGCCTACATAGTCATCCTGACCTCAGAAGGGAGCTCTTAACTAACAAATAGGTCAGTGAAAGTCATAGTGAAGAAAGCTTTCTTGCACTTACAGATGTTCTTTAATGTCTTGTAAATATGTTTTAAAAATACATTCCAGTGTTAATAAAGATCTACAAACTATGCCAAAGAAAACAGAAAAATGCACAGTGATGTCTGTCCCTGATGTGCTGCAGCTGTCACTCTCCTAGAGTAATCAGCCAAAATAGTTTGTTATGTTGCCTTCATTTTCCCTATGAAATGAGATTTTATAATTCTGTTTGTTCGTATTATTAAGATGTTATCGCGCTATTCAGCCTGATGTTTTCAGTGAACACTATAATGGTATTTTAATGAACAGAACATACCTAATTTGAAGAGAACAGTTTGGACTGCCTTTGTTCCTTCATTCCTTTTCAAAATAAACTTGACTAATATGTAAAGTCACAGTTGAAAGAAAGCATGCAATGGTGGGATTTTTCTCATTCTAAGTTTACATTTTTGCTCTTTGAATAAAAGTTTTGTTAGCAAATTGATTCAACTATTCTGCTTACTTATTTCTTTTTGGTGCTTGTTTGCTTGTTTGTTTGTTTGTTTGTTGTTTGTTTGTTTGTTTAAGACAGGGTCTCTCTATGTAGCCCTGACTGTCCTGAAACTCACTACATATGCCAGGCTGGTCTTGAACTCCCAGGGATCTGCCTGCTTCTCCCTCCAGAGCTCTAGGATCAAAGACATTCATCACCACACCTGACTCTTACATCTTGAACTTCTGATTGCAATGCCTCTACCTCCAGAGTGCTAGGATTACAGGTATGCCAACACACCTAGTTTATGCAGTGATGGGGATCGAACCCTGGGCTTCATGTATACTAGGTAAGCACTGTACCAAATGAGCTACATCCTTGAACTCACAGAGGCTTGCCTCTGCCTCCCAAGTGCTGGGATTAAAAGTATGCGCCACCACTGCCCAGCTCATTTATTCCTTTATTTTATTATGCATATGGGTGTTTTGCCTGCATGTATGTCAGTGTACCACATTCAAGTCTGGCACCAGAGTAGGTCAGAGAAGGATGTAAGATCCCTTGGAAATGGAATTAGGAATGGTTGTGAGCCACTATGTGAGGGCTGGGAATCAAACCCATATACTCTGTAAGAGAAATTAGTGCTCTTACCTGCTAAGACACCTTTCCAAGCCTTCATTAATTTCTTCATAGAAGTGGGCCAGTTTTAGTTTGTTAAGATATCTAGTCTAAATTCACTTATCTTTGAAAATATTTTTATTATTTTGCATGTATGAATGTTTTATCTGCGTGTCTGTACACCACATGCATGCCTGGTGTCCTAGGAGGCCAGAAAAGAGCATCAGATCCCCTGGAACTGAGTTACAGACAATCATGAGCCTCCAGGTGGATGATGGGAATTGAACCCAGGTCCCCTGGAGAAGCATCCAGTGCTCATAACTACTGAGCCATCTCTCCAGCCCTGCTAAATTCACTTATAAAAGAAGAGGAATTTAACATATTTTTGCTCCATTATTTCCCTCCATATTCTCATTTCTTTTTGCATTTCCTTGTCATTTTCCAGCTGTATCTCTCATGTATTCCCAAAAACAAAAAGCAAATCTAGTGAAAGTGGAGGAAACAAGGAAGTTAGACAATTTATACTACCTAATTTCAAGACTTACAAAGCTACTATAATTAAGACAGTAGATGATGGCATAAAGACAGGCATAGAATCCACCAGGGAAAAAGTAGAAAAATCAGTATTTTCTCCAAAGGTGCCAAAGCAGGTCAAATGGTTCTAGAACAGTGGTTCTCAACCTTGCTAATGCTACAAGCCTTTAATTCAGTTCCTCGTGCTGTGGTGACCCCCAACCATAACATTATTTTCACTGCTGCTTCATAACTGCAATTTTGCTGTGGTTATGAATAATATAATATATGTATAAAATATAAAATATGTATAAAATAATGGAATCAATAAAATCACACATTAAATAAATAAATAAATAAATAAATGACCAAGTAACTTGCTTAAAACCTCATAACTGGAGAGTGAAAGAAAGTCTATATTCTTAACCATTCCTGAGGTAAGGGATGATGCCCTACTTGTTCTCTCACATGGCCCTCCTTCCATACAATACCGTGAGAAATGCTATTCTAACTTTGTCTGTGGGAAAAGCTAGAATTTGAAGCCAGACATGGTGGCACACGCCTTTAATCCTGCACTCAGGAGGCAGAAGCAGGCAGATCTCCAGCCTGGTATATAGAGTGAGTTCTAGGACAGCCAGAGCTACACAGAGAAACTCCTGGCTCTATTTTCTTCCCATTTCATTTTCCATATGCACCATCAAAGCTTTGGGATTCAAAACAAAATAAAAAGGACTATTCTGGATAATAAAACAGGAGGGTCAGAGAGGGAAATATGTGAAGGCAAGCTATGGTGTTGTGCTTTAAATGAAAAAAACAAAGCTCTGGGCTTTCACTTTGAGCCTTCTCTGTACTCTCCCCCCAGTACACTCTGGGGCACAGAGGAAACAATTGATCTGGAATAGAAAGAGATTTAGATTTGCTTCTCTGCCATCCTCCCGTCACATAAGCAGACCCTTTGTGGCCAGAAGCACCGATCCGTATTATAAATGGTGTTAGATGATTCAGCACATACGGCAGCATGGGAGTATTTAAGTTTCCCCCCCCCCCCCACCCCCCCCCCACCCCCGTGTGTATAGCTGTTAGCAGGATAATGATTTCTCTCTCACTGGTCTCTCAGACATTTTCTTTGAATGTAAACTGTTGACATTTTAGAAAGAAGAAAAAATCCTTAATTTGCTTTTCTTTGGCTACTGGGAATGAAATCTAAAGGAAAGGGAGCTGTAAGCAACCTGACTGTCCTCCACATTTCTGTTTGGAAGCAATGAGTTAACTAACAGAAAAGAGTGTCAGTTCCAACAACACATTTTATTCTAGTCACTAAGGCACCCCGTTTAATAACCAAGTGAGTTTCTTTTCATGGACAGCACAACAGCACAAGTGAGATTTTGGTTTTCTTTTGTTTTCATTTAAATGAAAAGAACGTGGGTTTTTGTTTATTTGTTTGGTTGGTTGGTTGTTTTTTTTTTTTTTTTTGGTTTGTTTTTGGGTTGTTTTTTTTTTTTTTTTTTTTTTTTTTTTTGAGGCAGGGTTTCTCTGTGTAGCTTTAGCTGTCCTGAAACTCACTCGCTACAGGCTGGAAAGAAAGCTTAATGGATAAGAACAAACTGTTCCTGTGGAGGACACTAGTTCAGTTCCCAGCATGCACGCCAGGCAGTTTACAACTGATTGACTTCAACTCCAGGAGATCTGGTGCACAATCTTTTTAAAAATTAAAAAAACTATGGACCCTTAAGTACTGTAGACTCACTATACCTGTAGTTTTATTTTTGAACTGTGCATTAGTGTCTATAGGGACTAATTTTAAATGGTTTTAAAAATCCCTATCAGACATGCAGATTCACACCTATAATCCCAGCACTTGAGAGGTGGAAACAAGAGGAAGTTTAAGCTCATCCTTGACTACTTCCCAATTTCAAGGCCAGCCCAGGGTTACAAGAGACCGAGTCTCAAAACAAATCCCTACATAGCTGGGCATGGTGGCTCATGCCTATAGCACCAGCATTTAGGGATCTGAGGCAGGAGGCTTACTAGTAAGTGCTTGGACTACACAGTGATACCTTATTTAACTCCTTCCCATCTTTCCCCAAAATAGCTATATAATTTCCTTTTTGTCAATGTAACCTTTCTATTAATAGCAAGTTCAGGAAAAACAGGAACAGTATTTATCAGAATATATATATAAAATGTGTACCAGTGATTAAAAATATATTATTTTGAAAATCTACTTTCTTTATAGGCAGTGGCTGATGCTTACAAGATAATGGGGGAAAGAAAATTTTGTCAACAAATTATGGAAGATGAGCATTTTTTCCAGAAATTCAAAGTAGCTGATCGCATGGATGTTGTCACAGTGCAAGATTACATGCAAGTAAGGAATTTAGATATAGATGTTAAAAAATAAAAAGGGCTTTCCTGACCCTATCCTCCAACAAGAAAGGATAATAATTTTTATTTTGATTTTTTGAGGTAGGGTTTCTCTGTGTAGCCCTGGATGTCCTGGAACTCATTCTGTAGAGAAAGCTAGCTTCAAAGTCACAGAGATCAGCCTGCCTCTGCCTTTCTAGTGCTGGATTAAAGGCATGTGCCACCCAGCTCATATTTTTTTTTTTAGTTGTGGTAAAATACACACAACATTAAAATTAACTATTTGGGGGGCTGGAGAGATGGCTCAGTGGTTAAGAGCACTGGCTGATCTTCTAGAGGACCCAGGTTTAATTCCCAGTACCCACATGGCAGCTCTTACACCTGTCTATAACTCCAGTTCCAGGGGATCTGACACCCTCACAACAATGCACATAAAATAAAAATGTTAAAAATAGCAGGCTAGAGAGACAGCTCAAAGGTTAAGAGTGCTTGTGTGCTTCCAGAGGACCTGAGTTCAGTTCCCAGCACCCACATCACACAGTTCACAACTACTTGTAACATCAGCCTCAGAGGATCCAGTGCTGTCTTCTGGCCTCTGAGGGTACATCATATACATGCATACACATGCTCGAGCACACACACACACACACACACACACACACACACACACACACACACATACACAGAGAGAGAGAGAGAAAGAGAGAGAGAGAACAAAATGTAATTCTTTTAAGCTAATGAGTGAAGAGCTGCCTCTAGTTGCAGGATATAGAAAGAAGGAGAAAGCAGCAAGAGTTCTGTTCAAAGGCTCTTGATATTCCTGGGGAAATGGTGGTTGATCAGTTTAAGGATGTACGTCTACAGATGCAGGAGAGAGGAGTATGTCTGGCATGACTCCCGGATATCTGGTTTGCATAGCTGGACAGAACACTGCTGAATGGGGACACTTAAGCAGCACACCTGAATAATAATAATAATAATAATAATAATAATAATAATAATAAGTAATGATAAATGCTGTGTAACAGTCCCTCCCATTTTTCTACTAACAATTCAAAGAGGCAAACATTGATGAAAATTACCAATATTCTGATTCCTAATGTAATAATAATGACCTTAGCTGCTTCATAATAGCGTATGTGCCTCACTTTGACATATGAAGTTAACAAAGAGCCTTAGAGACTCTTGGATGTGTTTTCTTTCTTTTGGAGACTTAACCTATGAGACTAGGGAATTAGATCAGAAAGTAAATGAAGCTAGGGATGACAATTATCTTTGCTGAGGACATGAGTCACAAAATCATAGGTTGTGAATATGTCAAGGATTGGGGTCACAAAGAAAAGGCTCCAAATATTTACACTGGGAAAGAGAGATAAGATTATTTGTGGGAGTAAATGACATTTTAAAATATCTTTCCCAGTATATCTTTCCTTTCATCTTTAAGTTTGTAAATCCTGCAACTCTCTTTTATGGATGAGAAAAATGAAAGCTTTAATGAGGTCCAAAAACTCACCCAAGGTCACACAGTGAATGAGTGGGTAAGGAGATCGGTGACAGGTCCAAGACATTTACTGATTGTATCACTGCACTCCTGGGAAATGAAGTAACAGACATTCTCACTATGCAGGTAGTGTGGGACTAAAAGAACCGATGATATGAGCTGAAACTATACAAAGCACATTTCACAGTTTTTTGTGTGTTCGTTTGTTTTGAGACAAGATCTCCTGTAACCCAGGCTGACCTCAAATTTGCTATTTAGCCACAGGATGACCTTGAACTCCTAATCTTCCATTCACCACATTCCAAGTGCAGGGACTACAAGCTTGTGCCACCACTCCTTGCTGTTTGCTTTCCAATGTGTGGATCTGATTTGTTTTCAGCACCAGAGCTTGAACCCAGGCCCCTCACATGATAGATAGGTAAGCATTCTACCCCAAAGCTATGACCCAGCCCCATGCAAAGCAAACTTAGTAATCAATAGAGAAAATTGATTGGCACATTAAAAACAGCTGCATATGCTGGTGCTTGGCCGTAAACTCCGCACTCAGAAAGTTGAGGCAAAGAGAATTTGAAGTTTGAGGCAGGCCTGGGCTGCATAGTGAGCTCCAAAGCAGCACGGAGTTACGTAGCAAGATCCAGTCTCAAAACCAAAATAAAACCAAACATTAAAAGCTCTCTTACAGCCAGGCAGAGGTGGCACACACTTTGAACCCCAGCACTCAGGAGGCAGAGACAAGTGGATCTCCGTGAGTTCGAGGCCAGCATGGTCTACAGAGCGAGTTCTAGGAAAGGTTCCAAAATAATACAGAGAAACCCTGTCTCTAAAAACCAAAATAAATAAATAAAGCTCTCTTACAATAGAAATGAAAGACCCAAAGCATTTAGTACAATATTATTTAGTACATTGAGAGTGAGAGTTTTATTTCTTTGTAAAAGAAAAAAAAAAAAAAAACATCTGTGAAAACACTAAAAACCAATGGGTGAAATATATGATATGTGAATCTCGATAAAGTTATGAGTGTAACAGGTTGGGGGTGTGGCTCGAGGGTATGGTGCCTTGAGTTCGTTCCCTACCACCGGCAAAATAAAGAAAAGTCATGGGGAAAAAAAGCATAGTCAAGAATAATGTGAAACCTATGGCTCAGGCCTGTAATCCTAGATGTTTAGGAAACTAATGCAGGAGGATCACAAGTTCATAGCCTGCCTGGGGTACAGAATAAGTGCAAGGCCAACTTAAGTAACTTACCAAGATTGTATCAAATTTAAAAAAAAATTAAGGTTGAGGGATAGAGAACTGACCAAGAATGCACACGGCCCTAAGTGTCCCACCCTCACTCTATCCCCTACCAAAATAGCCCTTGGAAGAATGCCAGCCTTCTTGTTCTCAGGTGAGTTACAATGGGGACCACCTGTCTTTCTGTGCCTCTGTTAGTTGTCACACTCCTAAGTTTGAATCAGGCGCTGACATTTTAGTCTCCATATTGTATATGTTGCAAAATATGTTAGATTTCTTAAAATGTGAAGCTTTTTCTGCCAATGTCACTTCATTCTTCTTGTCAAGGCCACTTATGCTGGCACGTTCACCTTCACCAAATCCTGCTAGCTGTCCATTTCCAGGTTCTTAAACAGTGGCAGCCTTTTCTAGCCACCCATTTCTTCTACAGCTCACTTCACATTGGACCCCAGTCTCACTTCCAATGATACCACATTTGGTTTCTTTGCTGGCCAAGTCTGTCTTTGAAAAAAATGATTCACTTTTCTTTCAGTCATGTGTATGAGGCAAGATTGTGTGCACATATGTTCGGGTGTGCTAAGAGGCCAGAAGAGGTTGATGCATCCCCTAGAGCTGGAGTTACAAGTGGTTGTGAGCCAACTGACATGAGTGCTGGGAACCTAACTCGGGTCCTTTCCAAGAGCAGCATATGCTCTTAACTGCGGAGCCTAGTCTCCAGTTCCCAATTCCCTCTTTTGATTATCCATTTTTGTCAAATGTCACATGGGCTTATCATTGTGAAACAATGAGGTCACAGGACTACATATTTGCTGTCTGTATGTGAACTCATTAATGGGTTCACAGTGACCAAACACTGACATTTTTAGAGACAGGACATGACTTGTCACTAAATATGACTGCACACTCGTCCCTGATGTAGTAGACTGTGAATTGAAGATCTAGCTGCAGAGTCCGTGCCTTATGCAAAGATTTGCGGTTTTAGTGTGAGAATTGGAATTGGCTGCTTCTTGTTGAGAGACTGGTACTACTCAACAAATGGTGGCAACTGACACTTCTGCATGTCACATGGGTACATGTGTGAATTTGCATGTATGTGAAAGTAGGCACACGCAAGAGTTTAAGAGTATGTAGTAGACCCTAAAGGCCTTACTCCTAGCACTGCAGCTCCTCGTCCTTTAAAATGTTAAATTGAATACAAGAATTGTGGGTTTTTTGTTTGTTTGTTGTTTTTTGGGGGGGTTGGGGTTTTTGGGGTTGGGTTTTTTGTTTGTTTTTTTTTTTTTTCCGGGTTTCTCTGTATTGCTTTGGAGCCAGTCCTGGAACTAGCTCTGTAGACCAGGCTGGACTCAAACTCACAGAGATCTGCCTGCCTCTGCCTCCTGAGTGCTGGGATTAAGGTATGTGCCACCAAATCCTCCCGGCATGAATTGTGTTTTTAAATTGTTTCCTTGATATCATTTTAAATTGGAAAAAAGTCAAGTGAGATCCGTACAAATATTGCAAATAAAGATAATGAAATTATCCACTTAGCACAAAAGATTAACTCATCATTTTTAGAATAGTGTGTGCTGGTGTTTATGCATTAGATAAACATTTAGTGAGTGTGGCGCTGTGTAACTGAAACTGCATGGCATGGGTCATGCCTTTCAGTAAGGGAGTTAAGATGAATATAGACAACAGAAACATCTAGTTGGAATGAAAGTCACAGGAGGGAGATGTCAATAGAGTTTGGAGATGAGCACCAGCAACTGAGTTCTCTGCATTTTTCCCATATAGTACTGCAGCCTTATGGATGAGACCCCTGCATCATCTGGTGGCAAGAATAACCACTGGCGAAGATTAAGCCTCAGAAGCATTCCCAAAACAATGATGATGTATGACATAGTTGATTATGCAGAGTCTGGAGTAATCTCAACCCGTTTACAAAAAGAAATGAAGTATTTGTTACAGAAGCCACAAACAGAAGCGATGCGTCAGCACCAGCTAGAGATGGTTTCTAAAGTTAGGTAAAAGGCCATTTTCCCCAAGGGTTACAACACTAAAAGCATCCCTGAAAATGTTCCCTTTCTGATACATAGTCCACTAAAGATAACCATGAGGTGCACGGGAAAATTTGAGTTGGGGAAGATTGTCCCAAACATATGCAACTTTGTAAGCAGAATACTAACAAAAAGGCCAGTTAGTACTGAGGTTATAGCTTGTTCCACCCTGGCAGCCACCTCAGGATGCCAAGAGGCTGCCCTGGCAAATGTGAAAACAGGGCAAGTAGTAAAGAACTTTGCTGACTTTCGTTGGAGCAGACAGACACAGATGCTGCTGCTGAAAGAGAAGCCTCAGGCCAGCATGGCTTCCTTTCAAGAGAACATAAGAGACGAGGCAACCAGGGAGCCATCCTAGGTCAGGAAGTGTTGGGACACGGTAGAGTGAGTCAGAGGGTGGCGAGTGTGCCTCTCTGGGGAGAGGGGCCTCTGTGCAACTGTTAATATTTTTATTTTCATAAATACAGTCGAAAGGGCTCCCATGCAGCACAGAGCTGAAGGCTTTTGCCTTCTTGTTGAAAGCCATAATTGCAGTCTCTCTGGTCCCCGTTGCCTGGGATCATTTGTATATAAATTACAGTGGCATTATTCCCTTCTTTACCAATAACAAGCAAGCCAGTTAGTATTTTGGACTACAGTGTTGTAGCAAAATATATGTATTAGGGTCTGAAACAACAGACACAGAGAGTTAGTATTCCAATTAGATTGCTTTTAATTTCCACTAAGAATCACCCAGCCCATCTTATTTATAAATTAATCAGGCTTTCCTAAGGAAAAGAAAGTGGTGCTAAGGCCGAAGAGAATGTGTTGATATATGTTTTCACGCATATATTTTTGATGAGAAATGTTCCTTTAGACTACAAAGAATACACTGGCAAGCAAACATACTGGGGATTCTCAGGAGTGGAGATGAAAGGTGTTGATCCAACAACATAATTTGTCTCTCTTATTTTATAGTCAAGGCTGTGCACTTCCCAGACAGATAGCCTGGCCCAAGACAGTCTGTCATCATGAAATAGATTTTCTCTAACTCATACATATGAGCATTGAATATAGAACTTAACCCTATTACCACCAAGGTCAAATAAATGATGTCGTTTTCCTCATTGCCATATATAACCTTGAGCTCCCAGCTATGTGGAGTCACGCTACTGATTATCCAAGAATGAGTCATTTAGGAGCCAGACAGCTAGCCAAATTTTAAATCAACTGAAGAAGAAAATTATTTTCATAAGAACATCTTTGGATAAAGTCCTAGTCTGGGATCTCCCAGAAACAAACCCCAAGACCAGGAATTGGGTTAGAGCAGTTGATTTGGGAGGCAATCCCAGGACCTACCGAGGGGGTAGGGCAGTAAAATAGAAAGGAAAGCATCCCCAACTGTATGTTAGCAAGCCAGTTACCACTGGGGCTCCCTGGAGCTTCGTCCCTCCTGGGAATGACAGAGCCAATATACAACATGCAACTCAGTTATCCCACTGGGCACAGTAATGCCCCATAGCCACTGGTTAAGTGCTGGCCAGCAGGGGCAGTATTCTTGGATGCTTTTAATCTTCTCCCCACATGGACTCTTGTTCTGAAAGACAGTTCTAAAGATGAATGATGCAAGTGCTGGCAGGTAGATACCCCTGTGATAGTAAAGCCAAGGGAGTGAGTGATCTGATCCCAACACTGATTGAATAAAATACCTTCGCTAGGCTGGAGATGACTCAGCAGACAAAGAGCTTGTTACACAAGCATGAGAACCAGAGTTCAAATTCCCCAGAGACCATGTAAAAAGCCAGGCAGGTATGGTAGCCACTTGTCATCTCAGCACTCAGGACACAGACAAGCTCATTGCTAGAATAGCCAGAAAAGGTAAGCTCCGCATCCAGATGAGATTTATGTATCCTCAATAAATAAAACTGGACAGCAATTGAGAAAGACACCTGACATCAACTGTGGGCCTTCACAACACAAACAGTACTTGCACACACACAAACACGTGAGCCCACATACATGTGAACACATGCACACATACATGTAACCACACAAAGAAATAGCTTCATAATGAAATCCATTCCCTTGTATTGCTAACCTTAAAATTAATTTTTAAAAGAAGCTTGCTTTTTCAGCTGTTATGAAATGTAAATTCTGGCTTTAGCTATGGTCTTTTAAAAATTCATCCTGGGTATGGTGGCGCTATAATGTCAGCATTCAGGATAGGAGCCTTACCTCTGTAAGACTAAAGCCAGTCCAGGGAACACAGTGAGATCCTGTCAAAAAGAAAAAAGAAAAAAACATTCAAGTGGCCACTACACCACAGTGTTTTCTAGGAAGGCCTATTTTGGATTGATAGCAGGTTTTGCCCATTTTTGGCATCATAGTTGTCAACACCATCATCATGTATGCACCTCCACAAGCATCAGGTAAAGAACAATGCTATGCCTTCTTTTCTTTTTAAAAATGGTCTTGCTATACAGCTCAGGTTGGCTTCGAGCTCAGTAATCTAATCCAGCATGCCTTGAACTTAAGATCTGCATGCCTCCTCAGTACTGGAAAGTGTGTGCTGCCATGCCTGTGTGTGGTGACGCATGCTTTTAATCTCAGCTCTCTGGAGACAAAGCCTTGTGGATCTTTGAGTTTGAAGTCAGCTGGTTTACAGAGCAAGTTCCAGAATGGCCAGGACTATACAGAGAAACCCTGTCTTGAAAAACCAAAAAGAAAAAAGAAAAGAAAAGAAAGGAAGAAAAGAAAAGAGAACAATGCTATGTAAAGTCATAGAAATGATGACTTTAGCCTAAAACCTGACATGCATTGCTGCTCCACTGACTCAGGTATCTCAGTATGCTAGAGAATGTCTTGCCGTTTAGAATTTACTTCACATTTAAATCTTATTTTGTGTCCTTTTATTTATTTTTTTTCTGCCTCTGACACAAATGTCTTCTAGGTGTCCATGCATTACAACTGTCCGCCCTTATTACCAGCCTTGGGAACAGCAAGGTAAAATGAAACATCTGGGTCGTCGATCCAAGCAAGCACAAAAGAAGGTTGAACAAATGAAAAAAGCCTATATGGCAGCTAAAGAAGGAAAGGCTTCCCCCAAGGTAACTGCAAGTTTAACTAGCAGTAAATGCATTCGTGATTTTGGACAATTTTCAAACTGCCTATAAGCAATTTTATTTACACAAAGAAATGCACATTCAAGGCTGAAACACCATTGGCATACCAATAACTAGGTAGTGTGAAGCTACTTTCTGGTAACACCCATTTTCTCTATTTATTTATTGTTTCACTATATAGCTCTGGGTGATCTGGAAGTCTGTAAAAAGCAGGATGTCTTCACAGAGATCCACCTGCTTATTTTTACATGCCAATCCCAGTTCCCTCTACCTCCCCTCCTCCCCTGCTCCCCACCATCTCCCCATCCCATCCTCTTTCTTCTCCCCAGGAAGGGTGAGGCCTTCCATGGGGGAATCTTCAAAGTCTGTCAGATCATTTGGAGCAGGGCCCAGGCCCTCCCCCATGTGTCTAGGCTGAGAGAGTATCCCTCTATGTGGAATGGGCTCCCAAAGTCCATTTGTATACTAGGGATAAATACTGACCCACTACCAGAGGCCCCATAGACTGCCCAGTCCTCCTAACACCCACATTCAGGGGTTCTGGGTCCGTCCTATGCTGGTTACCCAGCTATCAGTCTGGGGTCTCAAAATACTCTGTTTTTATTTGTAATTCCACCTAGGAAGCACAAGTAGACAAATTACAAACAAAGGAGACGAAGGTCATCTTCTACTCTCCATCTTTTGAAATTTTGGCAATTGAAGAACCCCCAACAGACAACAAACTGGAAAAAGAAGAAAATGAATTATTTGCCTGGTATCAAGACCTATATGTTAAACATTCTTCATTGTTTTGAAACACTAATTGACAAAAAGCAACAGTTGTTTAACAATATTGCTGGCCATAAATAAAAATCAGACAAGCACAAATAAGTCTTTGCTATGCTTTCTTAACCAGATGCATGATGTATTTGTAAGCCCTTCTATATTACCATAGGTGGGAATGGTTTTTACCCTGAATGGATTAATTCCATTAGATGCCCTAGATCTAATAAATTACAGTTTTGTTCAAGAAATGAGAAGCAAATTAATCCGTAGGCGTTTGATTCAATGTTGATATTTTTCATTAAAAAATATTTGAAAGGCCATGCTTAGCATAAATATTGAATTAACAGGATAAAGGGCTATTCTTTTTAATATTGTTTTGTTTTGTTGAGACAGGGTTTCTCTGTGTAGCTTTGGAGCCTGTTCTGGAACTCTCTCTGTAGATCAGGCTAGACTTGAACTCACAGAGATCTGCCTGCCTCTGCCTCCCAAGTGCTAGGATTAAAGGCATGCACCACCAACACCAGGCTACAGGGCTATTCTTTATTATTATTATTATATGTATTTATTATTTTTTCTTATTTTACATATCGATCCCAGTTCTGTCTCCCTCCCTCCTTCTGTCCCTCCCTCTTTCTCTCCCTCCCTCTCTCCTTCTCTCCCTACCTCCCATCCCATCCCATTCCCCCCCCCACTCCACATGTAGGATCCACAGGGGGGATCATTAAAATCTGTCAAGTCATTTGGAGTAGAGTCCAGGCCCTCTCTCCTGCTAAAGGGCTATTCTTGAGTCTGTCTCCATTACCATTTTTTAGCAGCATGTTGTTTTTATGGTTTTGGAATGACCTATTCTAAATTATAATAAAATGATAATAAATCTGTTATGACAGTAGGCATGACACACCATATCTAATTATTATTGAGCACTGTAATTCACCTGGGACAGAATGTAGCATCAGCTTTGGATATTTTTCAAATAGAAAGACTGTTTTCAGTAATATTTCTCCATTTTGTTTTGAATTGACACATTATTGATTTCGTCTGTGATCCAAGCTACTGAATCATATCAAATATTACTAGAGACTACAATAGCTAAACAAAATGAAGTTGTTTATGGAACTTTTAAAATGGAATGTTTTATTTTGCTTGGGATTTAAAATGCACAGGTTGATTGTTAAAGCTACTTAGGCACGACAAGGTTCTCATTCTCTACTAAAATACTCTCTTAGATTATAAATATTGGAGGAAATGTGTATGACTCCCACTAGAGCATAGTTAACATAAACATGCACTTGTTAATGTTAATATAGCCTCATTTGATATCCATAAAAGGAAACATAATCTCTTCTCTTTAAAATTTGCCCCAAGACTGATTGAATACAAAACAGATATTTGTCCTCCTGAATCACACATGGTCTCATTCATTAATTTAAGAAGCCATCTCTCACGTGATCAAATACATACGAGATTCAATCTAGGCACAGTACATGTAATAGCAAAGCTAAGGAAGCTGTCACATAGAAAGGCAAGAAACTGAACAAAGGAAGCCCACACTTTATGTCTCAAAGAGCTCATTTCTCCTATTTCATTAGCTATAATTTCTGCCATTTCATAGCACGTGCTAAACATGGCAGCCACATCATAGAAGATCCTTGACAAGGCAGAACTGCACTTAATCCAGCCTCTGTGACAGCTGCTTTCTTATCTGTGTATATTTTTAATTTTATTGGTGTTTAATTTTATAAGGTATAGCTTTAATTAGCACGTTTTCATGCACATATATAGCATATTTGAACATATTTACCCTCTTAACTTCTTATCCTCTCTCCTGCTGGTCCTCTTCCCAAATGATCTCCCTTCTACTTTCATGTATATGTTTGGTTGGTTTATTTTATTTTACATATGAGAGAAAACACAAGGGATATACATCTTTTTAAATCTAGTTTATTATATTTAACATGATGATCTCAGTTCAATCCATTTTTCTGCAAACAACATAATTTCTTTGTTCTTTATAGGGGAATACAACTCAAATGTGTGTATATACTACATTTCTTTATCCAGGGATGGGCATCTAGACAGGATCTTTTTGTTTGTGTTTTTTGTTTTTGTTTTTATTTTTATTTTTCAAGACAGGGTTTCTCTGTGTAACAGCTCTGGCCTGGAACTAGCTCTTATAGACCAGGCTGGTTTCGAACTCACAGAGATCTGCCTACCCCTGCTTCCCGAGTGCTGGGATTAAAGTTGAGTGCCAAAACTACCTGTCTTTAACAGGTTCTTTAGCATTGTTATTGTGAATAGAGCTGTGACAATATGTGGCTGTACAGTGTCACTATTGTATATGGACTTTTGTGTTTTGTGTTATACACAGAAGTGGTATACTTGGCTCATATGCAAGTCCTACATTTAGTTTTATGGAAAACCTCCATAATGATGTACATAGTGGCAGAATTTGCATTTTCACCAACAGTGTATAAGGACTCCTTTCCCTCCATAGCCTCACCAGCATTTGTTTTGTTTTGTTTTTATTCTGTGTTCCATTTATTATGAGAATTGGGTACTGTATGTGTGTGTGTGTGTGTGTGTGTGTGTGTGTGTATTGTGTATGCAAGCCAGAAGAAGGCATCAGATCCCCTGGGACTGGAGTTACAGACCTTGCTAAGCTGCTTTATGGGTGCTGGGAAGCAAACCAGGGTCCTTTACCTGCTGAACCATCTCTCCAGTCTCCAAATTACAACCTTTTTTGTTGTTAATGGATAGAAACAAACTACAACTTTTAAAAAGTGATTTATTGCCAGGTGGTGGTGGCGCATGCCTTTAATCCCAGCACTCAGGAGGCAGAGGCAGGCGGATCTCTCTAAGTTTGAGGCCAGCCTGGTCTATAAATTGAGTTCCAGGACAGGCTCCAAAGCTACACAGAGAAACCTTGTCTACATAGTGAGCTCCAGGACAGCCAGGGTTACACAGAGACACCCTGTCTCAAGAAACCAAATAAAAAGTGATTGGTGTAAAATAATTTGTATGTGTGTCTGTATGGGGGGTATGTGTATGTGAGTGCAGGTGTGTGAGGAAGCCAGACAGTGGTGTCAGATCCACCTGGAGCTGGAGTCACAGGTAGTTGTGAGCCTCAAAACACTTACCATGATGGAGGTTAGAGGATACCCTGTTAGACTTCGGTTCTTTTATTCCCTGTAGGTCTGAGGATCAAAGTCAGGTTGTCAGGTTTCATGGCAAGTATTTTTTTAATTTAATTTTTTATTTAATTTATTATTTTACATGTTGATCCAAGTTCCCTCACCCTCCCTCCCTCCCTTTTACCCTCTCTGCCCTCTCACATGCACCCTGACCACCCTCCCTTCCCATTCCCCTGCCCCAATTCCATATGTAGGGCAAGTATTTTTAACCACTGAACCATCTCACCCACCTTGTTTGTTTGTTTTCTTTATATGCCGTTCTGAGTATGGTGCCGTACGAAATCAATATAGTTTTCATTTATATGTCCTTGATATTGCTCTTACATTTTTCAAGTGGTTGTAATCATAGGTAACATACAGGTTTAAACTTTGCACTTAATATTATAGTTCATTTGCTGAGTGGTGGTGATGAACACCTTTAATCCCAGCACTCAGGAGGAAGAGGCAGGCAGATTTCTGCAAGTTAGACACCAGCCTGGTGTAATAGTGATAGCCGAGATAGCCAAAGCTGCATAGACAAACCTTGTCTCAAAAATATTATAGTTCATTTAATTAATAATTTTAATGGTCACATGACTGACTGCTCATTAGGTCATACAATTGGCTTAAACATATCCAAATGATGTATTTTTTTTTCTTTTGAGCAGGATCCTAGTAGGCAGCCCAGGCTGGCCTGGAAGTAGGCCATGATCTTTCTGCTTCGGCCCCTTCATGCACTGGGATCACAGACGTATGTCTCCATGCTAAGCATTCATTGGATAGTTTAAATTTGTTTGTGACAGACTCTCTTGTACCGAAGTCTGGCCTTAAACTCACTATGTACCCAAGGGTAAACCCTTTAATTATCCCTTAGTCAACTGTCATAACCTCCCAAGTGCTGAGATGACAGGCATGAACATCCACAACTGGCCAAGGATATTTCAATCTCTAATTTTTCACAGCTGTAAGTAATCAATGTTATGGTACACACTTTTACACCATCCTCGTTTCTTTGGATAATTATGTATTACATAATATCTGTGTATAAAACTCCTGTATGTGTATGGTGTATGTGAAGGGGCTCTAGCAGGCCTAAGCACAACAAACATGACACCAACTGGTTTTGTCTTTTGCCCTTCTCCTCCTTGCTGAAACCCATTAGATTATGTCCCTAAAGCTAGCCCCCAAGGTCTATTCCCTTATTTGGCCTCTTCCTGTTCCTGAGGCTGACCACCAAGGTCCAGCTATCAAAGTGTTGAAGTCCAGCCATCGAAAGCCCCCTTTCGCTGCTACACTTAACATGTCAAATCAAAATACTTCATCCTAACCCACGGTTTCTCCTTTTCCCTTTAAAAACTGCCAGTTGAGAAAGACAGGAGTGGATGAGGTTGGAGGGAAAGAGCAGGGGAGAGGAGAGGGACTGAAAAGAGAGAAAGTGTGGGGGGGATGCAGTCAGGATGTAAAGCCAATAAATAAATGAATGAATAACAAAAATTTAAAAATAAACAAGTAAACTGCCATTCACCTATGGACCACATCTGTCTCCTCTCGTCCTTTGTCTCCTAAGGCAAAAGTCCTCACCCTATTTCCCCTTCTCCCTCATCCTCTATCTCCTCCCTTTGTCCCTTGTTCCCTGCCCTTTGTCCCCTTAGGTAAATACTCTTACCCATTTCCCTTGTTCCCTTCCCCTTCTCCCTAGTCTCCTATTTCCTGCCTTTGTCTCCCATTCCCTGCCGTTTGCCCGCCCCCCAGGGCAAATACATCTCCTTTGGTCTGAGAACTTGCTCTTGGGGGTCCTGTGCTGATTTTCAGTATGCATGCAAATATGCTCCTGTGGGAGTCCAAGTGTGGCAGTACACTTTAGTGCCTGTGTGTGGAGGCCAGAGGTCCATGACAGAAGTCTTCCTCAGTCACTCTCCACCTTAGTTTTTGAGAGA